AGCAGCAGCAGCTAACCTTCGTTCTTGTTGTTCATCAGCAACTAATTTAGCAAGAAGGTCTTCTTTAGCCGGATCTTCTTTTTCATTACTTCCAAACATATCCGACCATTTTTCATCAAGTTGACGTGTTGCACGAGGTTTTGATGGTACTGGTGGTTCAGTGAGTTTAAAAATTGAAGATGATGCATTTCCACCAGTTCCTGATGAATTGTGTTTTGATTCAGTTATTGGTGGGATAGGTGCTATTGGACGCTTATGAAGTTGTGTGTGAGATAGATGTTGTTCGCTTCGCTGAATATTTGTTGGTGGTGGTAATTTTTTAGGCTTTGATCCAAAAATATCTTCATTATCTATTTCACTTTTCTCGTCATCAACGCTCTTTGGTGTTGAGAGACGACGCGTAGGAGGTTTTCCTTTTGGTGGCAAATGACCTATTGCAGAAAAAAAACATATTTCAATAAGATAGTTTTAATAAATAGGTTTAACAATTAACAATTTCTTCACTAAAAAGAAGTTCATTTTCAAACTAGAGTATTTTCAACGTAAAAAAGTTACGATAATCATGTCTTACTCTCCATTTTTTATCGACATTCATTATGCTACTATCATCTAATTTCTTTATAATTATTTACAGGAAATAGAGGAGTTTATTATTATAGATCTAATACCTAACGTAAGGCCACTAAATGTTTATAGCACAGACAAAGTAATGCTACGAATTTTAAAAATATGAAGAATATTGTGCCCTTATCGTGATTAAATAAAATATACAATGATAATGCAAAACTAGTATATTTTGAAAATAAAACTGAAGTGTTTGATGTCTGATAAATTGAACATTAATCCTAAATAGCAAATAAGATTTTTCTATACCTTCTATTATTTTCAATTGAATAAAACTAAAAACTTATTCTAAATTCTAATGATCAATCATTTGTATATTAAAATGTACTTGAATAAATATTACCATTTTGTATTGTTGGTGGTTTTTCATCATTTGATGAATTTTTAGTAGTTGTTATTGTATTTTGTAATGGCTTTTTTAGTGTCATTTTTTTCTTTTCATGTTTTGGTGAAGAATCATTTGAAGAAGATCGTTGTTGTGTTTTAGACTTTTTTTCTCGTTCCTGTTGTTCACGTCGTCTTTTATCATAATCATTTATTTTCTCTCGTGAATGGGGTGATGTTTCATGAAGTGATTGTAATGAACGTGATTTCGATAAATTAGTTGGTGAATCTGATGAACGTTTACCACCACGTTGAACATATATATGCATTGTATCAACTTGTCGTGTTTTATCTTCAAATTTAAGTAATAAATCATTATATTTTTGTAAACGCGTTTCAAGTTGACGTTTCAATTCACGTTGTTTTATTATTTCTTGATTAATTTCATGACGATGATTTTTTTCTAAATTTTCAATATATTTTTCCTATAAAAAATACAAAACATATATCTATATCTATATATATGATAAAAATTTAATTTACTTGATTAGTTAATTTTCCTTGGACCTCTTGCAGTTTTTTATCTGTTTCATTTAATTTTTCATGTAATTCATGGCGTTCATCAAGATTTTTTTCTTGTACAATTTTTTCATATTTTTTAATACGTTTTGTTTGATCACGTAATTTTTCTTCACGAGTTTCGATTTGTTTTTCAAGTTTCATTTTGACTTCACGTTCATGGGATAAAACTTCTTTCATATGATCTATTTCATGTGTAAAATCACGTACAATTCGATGAATATCAAATTCTTTTTCTTCATATTGTTTAATAGCTTTTTCTTCGCGTCGTTGTATTGTACGTAATGTTGCATTTTCAATACGTTGAGCTTCTAATTCACGACGTAAATCAGCTAGACGAGATTCAAGAGTTTTTATTTTATTATTTTGTGCTGATAATGCACGTTGTTCCATTTCATTTTTTGTTGATGATGAAAGAGTTTCTTTACGACGACGAATTGGATAACCTCCTGTTCGTCGAGTTTGTTGTGGTCGAATATATGGTAAAAACGATTCATTACGTCGAATATTTCCATTTTTTGATTTTTTATGATGTGTAGTTGCAAATGAACTTTTTAATTCTGAATCACTACCACGACGAGGAGTTTCATATGTACGTTGTTTAGATGGTGGTAATGAACCATGTTTTTTTTTTCTTTCTTGTACACTCTCAACAACTGTTTCATCATCGTCAAAACCATTCTCATTATCGAAATCTATAAAAATAAAAAGATTTTATATGTAAAAAAAAAAATAAAAAAGTGTTTGTTTTTCTTTTTAACCTGATTCATAAACTTTTGATTGAACTGATTCAGCTCGATTTGACATTTCTGACGATGTATTTTTATATCCATTTGTTGTTGATGATGTTTTTGTATTATTTACTTTCGCTTATCAGAAGCAATAAAATTGATTATTTTAAAGAGCTTTTTATATTACTTAAAAGGATAATACTTACAGTTTGGTTTTGATGATGAAAATCTTCGTTCTTCTGGTGTTGTTGGAGTTCGAGAACGTTCAACAATCGGTTGAGTTTTAATAACTGATGTGACTGATGCATCATTTTGTTTTGGTTTAATCGGAGATTTTTTTCTATCATTATCTGTCTTTGGCGCTCCAAAAAACTCATCAAAACTATCAACTGATTCTTTACGTTCTGGCATTATGTTTTCAAAAACGATAAGACTATTTCTCTTTGTCTATATGTTGTTGTTTTTTTGTCGTTGCTTAGTAGCCAATGTGGCGAGTGAGAGAAGAAAAAAACAAGAATTATCTATCTAAGAAGAAAAAAAAACATAAGACACTACTAACATTCGCTCATTAGAAAAATTTATGTCACACACATAGAGAAGTAAAACGAGCTATTGCTTCTATCAACAATAATATAGTGTTGTAAAGGTGAGCAGAATGGAATAAAGAAACCAAGGCAACGTTCTCATCAACAGATGCATGTGAGTTCATTTCTTCAGAAATAAACCAGTTGGAGCAAAAAAAAACGCCACTATGGTTATCACACATTGGAATGGTGCAAAAGAAGGAAGAAAAAAAATTCTATTTAAATTTAATATCGATGCCATCATTGAAAAAGTAAATTGATTTCTTGTTCTTTTTTTTCGCTATTAAAACACAAAACACAGAAGTGATTCATTATGCATGTGTGCAGAATGCAAGAGGCGCTATATCCATTTTATTTATTTGTTTTTTTTAAAAAGGAAAAAAAGAACAAAAAATAAAATGAAAATTATCGCTTTCGACCAAATCGTAAAAAGCCTGTATCTCGACGAGAAATATTATCTACTTTATTGCATAAAATATGCAATGATGTTGGATGACACAGAACCAAATAATAGTTATCTAAATTATGTTCTTCTGCTTGTTTCAAATTGTGTAAATTAAACAATGTTTCTTCATCATTTGGACTATACTCATATGAACGAAACAATGCTTGTATTGGTTCATTATTTGGATTGATACGATAAGCTAAAAGAAAAAAAAACAATATTAAATTATCAATAATTGCGTTTTTTATTAAAAAGATTTAAATCTAATCACTTGTTTTATGAGTAACAATTAAGTTGTTCTACTTGAATTTTTTATTAATAATCCTCTCAACATACTGATTAACTCTAAATATATTCACAATGGTTCTTTTTTCTGTATATCCAACTGTATAAATTAAATCTACCTACCGTAATGGATTGCTATAAGATTTAATATTACCAAACAAATTAAGACAGTATTTTCAGACATTGTATTATAAAGGATATCCTAGAAAATAAATAATCAATAATATTGTATTTCTCATTAATAAATCTGAGAAACTATGTGAAAGAATATATATATAATGATATATACAATGAAATTTAAGAAAAAAAAAGTTATAACTATGAATAATAGTCTGGTTTATTCGATAAAGAAATTGACCTTCTTTACTAGGCTATTAAATAGTTCATTTCATACATCACTGCTATATTCATGTCGATGAATTTATTTTCCTTTAGGCTATCCAAGATGAGATGTTTGTAGAATAAAGAAAAAGTCAAAAGCTATATTACAAAGTATATGAGTAATTTATTCAATTGAAAATATCAGGAATGTTATAGATAATAGGCTGAAATCAGAGTATTAGATTCTTTTATGTGATGTGCCTATTTTTCAAAGAATAAATAACATATTGTGTAGCTTGAAGCTCCTTCGAAGTAGAAAATTAGAATATATTTCCCTTGCAAAAATTGCATCGTAGATAGAAACACAAAGAAGTATATTGAAATATGTGGAAATACGGATGTATGAGCAATATTGATTCTCTACTTTGTCCTTCTTTTGTCATTGGAGCTTAATAGAAGGATCCTTGAAATATTTGAAACGTTCATTTAAAATGCGTAGGAAGCTTTGCTAGTTCTTATCGAGCTCTTTTCAAATATACTAAACTTATTCAGATTTAATGGATTTTGATTATAACCAACGAACAAAAACTTAGACAAACTTCTAATTTATAAATATTTTATCTCCTATCCAAAATAACAATGTTTACTATTTAACATTTCTTAAGTTAATAAATACTCAACTATCTTACAAAAATTACGATTAAAGTTAGTCTTTACCTCTTGATTGTTCGGTAAATCTCACGAATAAACCAGTATTTCTATTTGTTTATTCTCTTCTATATATATAGTAGATTACCACCTTATTAAGTCAATCGTATTCTTGAATTAATAAATCACTTTTTATATCCAATCACTGATAAGTATCTGATTTATTTTTTCATTAACAATTTGTACAAGCCAACAAAAAAAAATATACTCATAACAAGACAAAAAGAAAGAGCTTTAGTATTTAAGCGTCTTACCAAGAAAAAAGAACAACGGCAAAAACGCGTTGAAAAAAAAGAGAAAAATAGAACAAAGAAGGCAAAATACGCCCATATCTGATCATACAAAGAAAAAGAAAAAAAAAAGAGAAAAATATCGTGAGAAACAACATTTTGAAAATGATTAAACAACTGTTCCAATTAGTCCATCAATAATATCAATTGAATCTGTAAGTGTATAAAATAATTGTGAACGATTTTCTCGTAAATATTCTAAATATGCTGAATAATCATTACATTCATTTAAATGTTCTATATATTGAACATGACGATCAAATGATGAAGATTTTTTAATAACTGGTAAATAATAAGTTAAATTAACCGATGATGATTTTGATTTACAATTTTGATTGGATTTTTTAAAATTATCTAATAAACTTCGTGCCCATAAACGTGAATCTTTTTCAAAAGCAACAGGACGATTATAGAGTGATGTGCGAGTTAAATAATCACTTGGTGATAATTTCTTTGAACCTAATTGAATAAAAGCTGTTAGAACAATCTCTGTGGGATTAAAATGTGAAGCACGACGCAACTGTCGGCATTGTAAAAAAGGAAATTAATCAATATATATTTCAGTTTATGAATTCTGATTTACTGCTGAAGCATGCCAATAATGAAAGATATAAATTACAATATATTATAGTGAACAGTTAAAAAGGACAACTATCATACTAAACCTCAAAGGCAAGGAATTTTTTTTGATAATCCGGTCCGTACCGTACCAAGAATTACTCCGTGTTTATAAAAAGAATTTTCAAATCATGGAACTCCATAATCCCTGTAGACATTTATTGGAACATAATAAAACGTTTCCTATCAAACTGATCACTTTCCACTTTTTTAATACATGGATACCTATTATATGCTAATCAGTTTTAGTCTATTCGTACATTTCAATGGATCACGAGACTCGAACACGAAACCTCTCAATTTTCCACGATTATTTGAATTTTCTGTATTGACAATCTTGAAAGCTGTCATCAAACTCAAGTCATTCAAATATAGTGAAGCTGAAACTTCACTATAAATTGTTTCAAGTAGAGATGGCAAAATAACATCAGAGATCGATTAAAATCACAGGCTTCCATTCGATTATTAGTTGATTAGAAAATCATTTTTATCAAGAAATAATCCAAAATATAACAATACACTTGATTATGATGATTAATTTTGATTATAATCGATTAAAAACCTACGCAAACATCATTTTAATCGATTCTTGACAGCCAATGTGATGATCTCTAACAAGTCTTCTTTGATTTACATCAACACCTTTATCGAAATTTTAAAAAAATAATACATGAAACTTGGCTATTTTTTCATTATTTGAGAGTATAATTGAGTAATAACATAGCTAGAGCGGTGAAAAACTGAATGATTTCAATTAATGTAGGAGAGCTTCCGGTGAAAAATCGGTTTTAGTTAACAATAGCCTGTCAAAATCTATTTAAACTGATTATATTATCAAATTTAATCTGAAAGTGGTACATTCAATCAATTTTTTGTTATTATTGTCGGAAAAGCCAGTTTTAGTTTGATTATTCGACCGGTTTTTTACGTGGGAAGCTTTCATGAGTGAAAGGTTCTCTTATCAATCTTAAAGAGTCAGGTCAGTTAATTATTTTTTATAGTTAAAATGTTAATTTTTAGTACACACTCAATATTGTTCCACTTCAGTAAGACACATGCTACTTAATACAGTTGATAGTACACTTTGCCTTATGTATAAATGAGGAAGGTTACTGAACCGAATAAATGCTCTGCTTTTATTTATTGACTAAATGAAAATTCCGTGACGTTGGCATAATAAAGCTTCCTGATTATTACCAGTTACAAGATGTAAAACTCATGCAAGAATTTAACGGTTCAACAAAATTTTAAGTCCGCAGCAGACTTTTACCCCTGCGATTACATCTGACAAGTCTGTGAAAGAAACAGGAAGTGGAGATCCAAGTTTTTATCTATATACTTCAACAATCCTTTTACATCGTGTTTCAAAAAAAAAACGTGTTTTTATTTTACCATATTTCAAATAATTTTCTTCAGTTTCCCGCTGATATTTTTCATAATTATTTTGGTCATTTTGTAAATTATGTGTACGTAAATAATCTAAAACATTTGTTGATATTAAATCAACATTTTCTTGTTTATCATTAAATTCTGTTGAATCAAGTAAATCTGTTATATCTGACATTTTTTTATTATTTGATATCATCATTGATGTTGATTGAATTCGATCAACTGATGAATTATCATTTGTTAATAAATCAGATTTAGTACATGAACAATATTCATCATCATCGTCATCTAATGAATCTAATAAAAGAAATTCTTGGATTAATAAATAGAATTAACAAAACTTTTACCTATAGTAAAAAAAATAAGATCATCATCTAAATCAATTGAACTCATTTGTTTTTTTTTTATTTGTAAACGATCTAGAAAATAAATAAAACGAGTAGAGATTTTATTGAAGTAAATATTCTAATTTATGTGTTGATGAACGTGTTATATTCACTAAAATATGTGTAAATAATTTTTCTTTATGTATATTTTCTATTAAATAATCGATTTGATTTAATTGTTTTATACCATCGTGTAAATATCGAGTCCAACCTTGAAGTAATTGATGACTAAATTTATTTAATAAAATAAAATGACTGCAAAATAAACAAAAAAAAAGCAATATCTCTCACCGATTTACAGCACGTTCACGTTTTTCATGACGAATCATTTTATAACGACCAATATGATTTGGTGGTCGACTTAAACGATAACTTGAATTACGTATTCTAAACAAAATACAAAGTTTGATCATAAGAACGTTGTTGTTGTTCTCTCATTTAAGTAAACAAAATTTATTTCTTGATTTAGAAAAGTTTTAAGAAACCATAACGAACCTTGCGGCCATATCTAAAATAATAAATGATCATTAGAAATCAAATTTTTATTTTTTTAAAATTTCTACCATCATCTTCTGCCTATAACAAAACAAAAACAAAGAAATAATTATTTTATTAACAATAAAATCCTACTTACTCCCCAACCCCAATATAAATTTGACCATCCATTAACGGAAATAAATTGTTCTTTACTTATTGCTAAAACACCTCCAACCAAATGATTATACATTAATCTTAAAAAATAGACAACAAAATAATTTAAAGATTCTATTTAATTATTTAAATAAATATATTAAACTTACTACTTACACATAACGTAATTCATCAACAGCCGGTGATAAATGTCTTGGTGCTTTTGGATCACATTCATAAACATTATAATCATTTTCCGGTACCAAATCAACATCATGAAATATAAAACAATTGAATGTTGAACGGATTTTTAATGCTTCTTGAAATGCAACATTCATTATTATACCTTTATTGAATGTAACATTGCCTATCTAAACAATTTTAAATGATTAAATTAATATTTATTTATAAATTGCGCAGAAAAATCTCAACTATTATATATTAATGATATACTTTAATAACATTGACGTGATTTTCGTGAACAAACAAAGGAATAAATATGTTTTTTTTTTTGTAAGAAAAAATGGTTATTATTTTCAATATTGTACTACAAAGATTAAAAAAAAAAGGTTTTGATTGTTCGATCATGACTATTCGAAATTTATATTGATTCGAAACATTAGGTTTTGTTTTATTCAGTTTATAAAAGTGTATGTATATATATTATCGAAATTATCAAAAGAAAAATTTTATAGATCATAACCTGTTCTACAACAAATATTTGATAAGAACGTTTCTGTCTTTGAAGATATGGATGAAGATATTTCAATAATAATTTCAGATGATATTCCCTATTGCGAAATGGAATAATAATAGCAAGTTCTTGTCGAGATTTACAATCATTGGGTGAATAGATTCCACCTAAAATATTTTTTACTCAAAAATAAAATAAAATCTAATAAATCCTCATACCTATCTGGACATTTGGATTATCTGACCATTCAACTTTTTCTAACATAATAACTTCTTTACTTCCTATTACATAGATATTTTTAGCAAAGAAAAAGCACAATTAAATACTATTATCATTCACTTTACCTTGAAGAGTAGATGGGTATAATGGACAAAATTCATTTAAATGATCATTATCTATCAGTATATATTGATTACCAGTATACTCATAGTATGTATTACAAATATGAATAATAATAATAACACAGATAATAATAATTATCTCTGGTATATATTCATTTCGAGTTAAACGATTAAATTTATTCCGACTTAACATTAATCTTTAAAAAAATAAATAAATGGATGTATTAAAATAATAAAAAAACAATTTTTTTATCACATTCAGAACAAAAACAATTTGTTATGTTCTACTTTTATTATACATGTTTTAAGGGCAAATCATGGGTTCGAATATGTAGAACATAAACGTTTGTTTATTTCTTGAACTTAAAGAATCATCACCAGTACATAAGAATGGATGCATGTATGTATGTATAATATAAAAGAATAAGAAAAGAAAACAGAAAAGATTAATACAATACATATATATATCCTCGTGGCCAAAATAAACGGAACACCTTGTTTTTTCAGTTATGCATCTTTGCCTCGTTCGATTTATCTGAAATTTTCACCAAAGATACATCATTGATTACTTGACTCACAGTAAAAATTTCAGCTAAATATTAAGAGCCATTGCTGAGAAAACTAAAAATATGTGTTATGTACTCATGTAGCAGTGNAAATGAAATTTGAAACAGCAGAAAAATCAGCAAAACAACAAATTTTGGTTTCACTGCTACATGAGTACATAACACATATTTTTAATTTTCTCAGCAATGGCTCTTAATATTTAGTGCTGAAATTTTTACTGTGAGTCAAGTAATCAATGATGTATCATTGGTGAAAATTTCAGATAAATCGAACGAGGCAAAGATGCATAACTGAAAAAACAAGGTGTTCCGTTTATTTTGGCCACGAGGATATATAGATGTCATGTCATAACACAATTATAATTACAAATATCAAAAAAATAAAATAAAATTTCATTCCAATTAGAAAATTCAAATTAATTTAAAATTATGTTGAATTTGAAGGTTTTTCGTCAGCTGATGATATATTGAGCCAACATGGTTTTACATATGAACTTGGATTAACCAAATCAGAAAATGATGAATAAGATGAAGCTAAAGCACCATAAAGACCAATGAGTAACGCTATTGCTAATACAACAATATCCCATTTTGGTAACACCCTAAAAATTAAAAATTAAATTATTTTCAACACAGTGTACATTCATATAAAAGGCATGAGCAATATTATGAAATGATAAGATTGAAAAAAATTGATTATACTGACAAGAGAAATTGAGTGTCTTACCTAAATATAGTATCTAATAATCTTTCATGAACTAATTGAGTTGATTGAACTTTAATCATAACAAAACAAATCACCGGTAATATAAAGCCTAAAATGGATACTGTTGAACTTCCAATAAATGAGAGTATAGCACCAAAATGTGGTATTGTTTCAGCCATAAATGCTAAAAATATGACTATTCCACTACGTAATACAGCACGTTGCCAACAAAAATGTTTTGGTACACGTGTAAGTTCTTCAAAACCTTGAAATATTGGATTTAATACTATTGTAAATGCCATTGCTAAATGACCAGTAATTAATACTTCAACTGAATAACGAAGAAAATCTTTTTTTAAATTCTTTAATATATTATCTTTCACATCTGAACCATAAGCAATATATCCAATGATTGATACAGGTAAATAAAAAACTAATAAAATTGAATAAGCAATAATTACTGCTACATGAAATCGATGTGGTTGACGCATATCAACTTGTATTGTTGGAAACATAGCTGAACCACCCCATGCAAAAAACATAGTTCCCATTGAAAATGAAAATGATTTAAATGTAATTTCACTCGGTTCAAATCGTTCACTTGTTCGGTAATGAACAAGAATACTGATCGTAATAACTAAACAGGCAACAGCTGTACAAACCATTGCAATGATGGCTATAGGCCTATATAATACAAAAGTTTTAATACAGCATATTTATTTGTTTTGTATCATAAACAATAAATAAAACGATGATGTTATAAGTCGACAGAATAGTATTATTGAAGTCTAATTCACAAAATCCATTGGATAGTAGAGATATATGAAGAGAAGAATTTTTCTGAGTAAAATTCAATAGATTTTTTTTGACTAATTTATCTATTTATCTTTAAGTTATTATTTCACATTCAATGGATCTATTTTCGATCTTAATTTTATAATGTCACCTTTTTTTTTCTTATGAACGATTTCATTCGTTTTTCGTCATACTTATCAATTCATCAAGATTGAAGCTTGACTAGATGTATCAGTATACCTAAACTGAGAATCTGTTCAAAGTACGAAGAAAACTTTCGAGAGAATTCATCTCAGATATACAGATTTAAAGATGCAAGGGTAATATCGAATAAGTTTCAGAAGTAGAGTCCATCAGGGAAAGTTTTGCGGTTTCAAAAAACTGGAACCGCGATTCCGAGTAATTTTTGAAACCAGAGAACCCTATTGTTGAATCTAAAATTTTCAAATCTGATTAATAGAAAATGCATTATTTCATTATAATTTCTGCTCTCCAAAGAAGAAAAAATGTTGATCATGTGCTAGCTGACGAAGAATCTGATTCAATTAATGATCAATTCACTAACAAACTAACAATGTAAGAATATTTTTTAACTTCTGAAAGGAGAATCTTTTCATTTTCATAAAATGAAATTTTTATATAAAATCTTACCAACTATCTTTTGGTGTTCCAAGCCAACATGGAACAAGAAGAAGAGCAGCAACAATAATAATCCATACGCATACAGGAAGATGTGCATGAAAAGCATCAAATAAACTTTGAAGATTTTGTGCAGCCAAAAGTAAGAATACAACACCTGTTTGACTATTCAAATATGTCTTCACCAACTTGACAAATATATACAAAGATAATAATATTCTTTATCTTTTTTTACTAACATTGCTAATGAATAATTCTTGCACCCAACAGTTGAAAATAAATAACAAATATTAACACATATCTATATATATATACCAATATTAAAATTTTCATTTAAAAAATAAAAGTAAATTTAACTTACTTTCCAATACGACCAGCACCTTCCGTAGCTATAACTTGAAATGGTGATCGACTACCTTCTTCAGAATAAACTGGATTTATTTCTCTTAACATAGTCCAACAATCACCTAATTTCATACCAGAATAGCCGGATAAAATGCATAAAACAAATGTCGATATAAGACCATACCATCCGGCTTGATCCATAGCTTTAGGTAATGCTAAAAGACCCGTACCAGCCATTTCTCCAGTGATAAATATAGCGGCAGTGAATACTGTGAGACCATGCTGCTAAAAAATATTTTTTAAACTTTCAAAATATACATTCCAAAAGTCTTTACTTGAATATGTTTTTTATCTGCTGGCAAGATTGGGTCTTGATAGCTATTGTCGAAGGACATTAGCTCCACTGTATATCTACAACAAGAAAGATTTTAACAGGTTCTTTTATCCTTATCTAGACAAGGGAGAAAATCGAATCTACAAAGATCGAAAAGAAAAATGTGACGAGGATTTGAGATGGCTCATTTAAAAATAAGCTTTAAAGTCTGGTCGATCTGCATACGGAATTTTTCCTGCATTACAATCGTTATTATATTGAATCTAACAAAATAGAAATAAATATTTGTAAATAAATAAAACTTTGAAAATTACTCGTTTTTTCTGTGCAAAGTATTGAAGTAATCCACCAACTAGAAGAAAAAGTGCGGGCGCAAGAAGTATACGTGGTGACGTATATAAATACCGATAACTATTTTGTTGATAAGCATAAAGGCGAATATTTTGTGGGTCCACCTTATCAAAAGAACAAAGAACAACAAAAAACAATTGAAAGACAGGAAATAAGAAACATTTACTTACAAAATGACCGGGTACACTAGCATAAAATGGATTTCTATAACGTTTAAGAAATTCTGCTTTAGTTGTTGCACGTAATTGTGCACGTTTTTGAATTAATTTTATTTCATCAGGTGTCAAGTCCCATTCAGATGGGAGTGTTTGAACAGGCATCTCCAACCTTGAAAGATATCAAAGAAAAGTCTTTGAGTGAAAATAAAGAACACAAAGGTAAAGACTAGAAAAGTTATATTTTCATACCATTACTAGTTAATGCATGCCTTTATTTATGTTCTTACATAGAGATGTCACTATCATCTAAATAAATGAACAGAGGCATACGAAAGACTCTAAAGGTTTCTACGTGGCTTGATTTTTTTCCGTTTGCTTGATAATATACATATATATATAATTATATCGATATTTATTTGAAAAGAAATATGCCAGCTAATCAATCAAAACGTAAACGAGCTATTGAAGTACATAATAAGAAAGTGACACAACGTGGTAATGTACCAAAATCAAATAAACAAGTTGAGTCAAAAACTCCTGTTGGTCCATGGCTTTTGGCTTTATTTGTTTTCGTTGTAGTTGGCTCAGCTGTCTTTCAAATAATTCAAAGCATTCGAATGGCATAGCATTTAAATATTTTTCATTATCTCTTATATGTTTGTTTTTAAAACTTCTTAAAGCATGATTTTATGAAAATGATCATTAACAAGCGAAAAATTCACTCGTAAGAAACAGTATCTGTCGTTTATTTTTGCTTTATTATTATTATTATTATTATTATTGTTGTTGTTGTTGTTGTTGTTTCTTTTTTTTTTCTTATTAAATATTATCGCATTTCACTCATCAACACAACATATATAAAACAAACCTAAATATTCTATTATTTGCTCGTTTCATTAGAACACAATAATGAAATTCCAAACATGAATTTAAGGCTATTCGAAAATGATGCGAAAATCTCCGACTTTAACTTAAGTAGGAGACACAAGAAGTAGAATAATTAGATTTATTTTCTTCGTTAAAACTGACCTATTACTACAGTTGTTAACCCTTTGGGTCCGGGCGACGCACATATGCGTCCTGGGATTTTACGCATTGAATACCTTTAAAAAACATGGTTGTTTTAGTTATTTAGTAGTAAAAATTGTATGAATATTTGTATTTAGGATACCTGTGCGGTTAAAGTTATCTATAATTACTGATAATTATGGGTTCTCCCTTAATA